CAATATGACTTCAGTTGATTTGCAAGTTTATATTTAAAAATATAATTAAGTTTTGCGAGCTTGATTTTTAAGTTTTTTTTTTGCTTTTAAGAATAAATCCAGGCGTTTGAACTTTTGAATGTAGACGTAGTATCGTTAATCTTGAACAATTGATATCGACATCCAATGCGGGCATTTTTATCCTAGCAGCCGCTTACCTTACCACGGAATATCACATTAAGAGGAATTAGATTAAGCCGTATACGGTTTGAGTCTACCTATAAATATGGAAATCAATTTGCTTAATCCCTAGGTTTAAAAACAAAAAGTCTGAATTTGAGAGAAATGTATTAAATTTGTATTTCGGAAATATCAATTCAGTTTAAAATTCATAGAGATTTGAAACTTTAGAGGAATATCTTAAATACAAAACTAATTAATATGTTTCTAAAATTTTAATTTGGAAAAATTAAGAAATAAAAAATATTTCCGTTGAGAAGTATCATGCACAAGCTTAACTGTTTAAATTACAAATTGAGACATATCCAGCTTGAACTTGACAAAAATATATTAATTTAAAAATTGAGATTTGAGAAATATCTTGAGTGAAGACGAAAGATAAGAACTCTTACAATAATATTTTCAATTTTCTTCGCGGACAATAAATATATTTTTCGGACAATATATTTCCATAGTATAGACATTATATTTCCAGAGTATAGACAATATATTTCCAGAGTATAGACAATATATTTCCGGGTATAGACATTGTATTTTTAGAGTATAGACAGTATATTTCCAGAGTATATACATTATAAAATATATTTCCAGAGTATATACAATATATTTCCAGAGTATATACAATAAATTTCCAGAGTATAGACAATATATTTCCAGAGTACAGACAATATATTTCCAGAGTATATACAATATATTTCCAGAGTATAGACAATATTCCAGAGGATGGGCCCAAATTTTGTGACGGACCTCACATATGATCCAATGAAAGTTTATGGAAAAATTTGTCTCTAACAAAATTCAATTTTTTTTAGTATTGAAAATCTACGATTTTTTATATAATCTGCGTAATTTTTTTTGTTTTTGTTTAAAAATGTATACAAAAAAAATGATCACAATTGAAATAGATGAGCCATTCACAATATATTTCACAGACTAAATGTACGTTGTTACATTTTAATGCAGAAACAGATAAAAATAAAACATATAATGTAATAATGTTATTTATTCTGATCTGTTTCTGCAACGCTTTTTTTTATAAATTTTATTAAAGTTGATAGTTTTTAACATCATTTTGTTTCAATACGAGAGCTTTAAATGCTAATGTTATTTATTGTATAAAAATTCTTTAAATTATAGGTCACATAGGATTTGTTCCAAATTTTCAAGGCGGGGGCCAAAGGAGTAAAGATTGCCCCCCCCCCTCCTCCACCTCGTCTAAAATCTAGTGTGTCAATCAAAATATTTACTTGAACCCAATCCACATGGTGCTTATAGATATATTGGAAACCACTCCAACAAATCTTATTATTAAAAGAAAATTGGAAGGGGGATATAAAGGGGGGATATAAAGGGGGGATATAAAGGGGGGATATAAAGGGGGGGTATAAAGGGGGTAAAATGAGTTCTAATCAAAAGGTTTCCCCTATGGCCTTGATCTCATCAGAGCTATGATGGGTCGCCAACAAGAGAACTTTAGTGCCAATGAACATACAGGGTGTCCCACGAAACATGACAGTTGGTTATTATTTTTTATTATTTTCTTCCGCATACTAAAGCATGTTTGCAGTTTATTTCGTTCAATAAAAAATCCTCAAATATGGTTTACTTTGAAATCAATTTTACTATAATATGACTTGCTGTATAATGTGTTTTATTATATAATGTATCAAACAACTTAACAAATTATGGAAGAAGACATTTTAAACTATAATTTCATGTTTCGTTGGACACCCTGTACATTAAACCTCAGCTGGGTTCTCACATAGGATCAGACCTCAGAGACGACCGTACACAATTTATTAACTTAAGAGTCTGCAGACGTTATTTCAAGTAGGACCCTCCATTAATAGACCTGCATGTCAGATTCAAAATGGCAGCGGTGTCAGACCCAAAGTAGATCCATATTTTTGTTTTTAAAAACGGTTTATCTCAAATGTGGTTTCTCTTCAAAGTGACTTGCGCTTTTCTTGCTTCAGAAACAATCGAGAAATTATGAGAATTAAACACTTTTCAAGTAAAAAAAAACAACGTTATCCTCCACACTGTTATCAGATTGAGATTTCAAGGGTATCGTTGTTAGTCGGGAAAACCCCTCTACGCACGAAAGGACGACATTTCCCCCAGAATGTATCTGTTCCCTTTAATCAACCCCAATGTTTGCGCGGCAATTGTTTTAAACACTTTTTACATTTATCTTGCTAGGCATATCTAAATCAACAAGTCACTTTTTCTAAAGAACTGTTATGAAATTATCAATATTTGTAGATCGAATAACAAGGCTATCTTCATCAGTTTTTTCTCATACGAATGCCTTCATCAAAGGGGCTGTTACGTACAGTGTGTCCCACGAAACATGACAGTTGGTGAATAGTTTTAAATGTCTTCTTCCACATACTGTATTAGATATTGAAGTCTTCTTCCACATACTGTATTAGATATTGAAGTCTTCTTCCACATACTGTATTAGATATTAAAGACTAATTTTCCAGTTTATTTATTTAAAAAATGTTTAACTAATAAATATTTTTCTGTGAAATCAATTTTATATACAACTATCAAATATACTACAACTGTCAAATATACTACAACTGTCAAATATACTACAACTGTCAAATATACTACAACTGTCAAATATACTACAACTGTCAAATATACTACAACTGTCAAATATACTACAACTGTCAAATATACTACAACTGTCAAATATACTACAACTGTCAAATATACTACAACTGTCAAATATACTACAACTGTCAAATATACTACAACTGTCAAATATACTACAACTGTCAAATATACTACAACTGTCAAATATACTACAACTGTCAAATATACTACAACTGTCAAATATACTACAACTGTCAAATATACTACAACTGTCAAATATACTACAACTGTCAAATATACTACAACTGTCAAATAAATAATGTTATTAGTCTCTTTAGTATCAAACAACCTCTCAAATTATGGAAGAAGACATTTTAAACTATTCACCAACTGTCATGTTTCGTGGGACACCCTGTAACTTCAAGTGATCCTGAATATTTAAGGCGACTGCAAAAGTAATTTCAAGTAACCCTCCCTCCGTACAGAGATACCAACGTCCGAGTTTTAAGAACAGCGCTACCCTTGAAACCTTAATATTATCAAACATGTCAAATAACTTGGTCTTCTGACACTTTTAGTGTTTATTTCTGTCAATTTCTCCATTGTTTCTGGTAAGCAAAAAATGTGCAAGTAGATATAGCAGAAAAACGGCATATGAAAATAAACATTATTTTGACAATCGAGCATTGTCATCTTTAAATATTTAAATTGATTGTTACTTAACATTACACCTTGTTAGATTATCGTATCTTGTTCAGCTTGAAAAGATTAGCTGAACTGTGCCAAGAGCCCTATTTTAACGGGATAAGAGGAGGGGGGGGTTCAATGTCATGTTAATTATGTGTGCATTTATAAATCAGGGGATAAACTAAACATCCTTCTTTGCTCATTGCTCAAAATGCATCAGTCGAAGTGTAATATTCATTTTTATTGAAGAAACCAATTTTACACCGGAGTCATGCAAAAAGAATGCATCTATATATAAATTTGGCTTGTCTGTTTGTTTGTATCAAATAAACGTCAAAACGGCTGATCCGATCGGGCCCAAATTTTTTGTAGGACCACAGGGAAGGTTTATGAATGATAAAAATTTTGAAAAAAGTGTTTTAAAGGTTTTTTAATTTTGTAAAAAAAAATTCTTGAAAATCCGCGATTTTTTTTTAAATCCGCAAAATTTTTTCCTTCTTTGTTTTAAAATGTAAGCAAAAAGAACATGTTCACAATTTAAATAGAAGATGGGCGCGAAGCGCCCTAAAAGCCTAGAAAGAAGGGCGCGAAGCGCCTTGAATTTCTAGTTTTGGTATTTATACCTAAAAAAGCCACCCTCATTTATAAAATAACATACTTTTTAAAGAAGAGTTTAATTTCATATTATTAAATTTGTGGAATTTTTTGGAAATAAATCCCATTATTTCTGACTGAAAGAAAGAAATTTAATTTCCTAAATTTGACAGATTTAAATACATCTAGGACATACCACTACTTCACATTGTACATCATTCTCAGACCAAATATATGTCACTCCCCTCCCTCTGGTTTCTATATCCGGTCTGAAAATATATGTCACCCCCCTCACTCTGGTTTCTATGTCCGGTCGGAAAATATATGTCACCCCCCTCCCTCTGGTTTCTATATCCGGTCTGAAATATATNATATGTCACTCCCCTCCCTCTGGTTTCTATATCCGGTCTGAAAATATATGTCACCCCCCTCCCTCTGGTTTCTATATCCGGTCTGAAATTCCTCCTTTGCATCATTTGTCACAGAAGATCTTGAAATCCCATCTCCACCCCCCTCCCCGTATCAATGCTCACCTAACGAGGCAGACAAGTTTATTAAGGCAGTATTCAGGCAGTAGATTTCTATATCTAAGCCTATGAGTATAATATACTCTGAATACCTTTCTCCCACACACTTTTTAAATACAATCGTCGTTGTATATATCAATAAAGTGAAACTGCTTTCGAGTTTTGATTCCTACCAAGCTAACAGCTTCTTTTATGTTTACTCTTCATAATATTGATATGAACTTAAGACTGAATTGAATTAATATTTTCAATATACTTCAATCTTAATTTTCACACGTTTAAAAAAAAACTAGATTTGCACTTGGCATTTTGCATTTAATAGAATAATTTCAAATTTTCAATGTAAAAATCAATCAATAAATTGAGTAGTAATTTAAATTATATATTTTTAAAGGATTACATGATAAACTAGAAATAATTATCCAACTATCTATCTATCAACCTCACCGAAGACGACATCCATGGTACCGATGATGGCGACAATATCGGCCAACATGTGGTTCTTCCCAATGTGGTCGATGGCCGCCAAGTGAAGGAAACCTGGTGCCTTAATCTTACACCTAAAATTAAAATCAGAAATTACATGGGGATCCATGAAAATATGGAATATGAAGACGACATTTCACTTATTGTATGTGATTTTGACGTTATATAACGCAAATAGCTAAATACTAATAGCTTCACAAATCAAATCACAAAGGGCGGGGATGACAATGGACTCCAGTAATGGATTGGAGGTTCAAGTCCTTTCCGTGTCCTGGTTTTTCAGTCTGGACTTCTTCCTATTTAAAAAAAAATCTCAAAAGTTTTTGTAAAGCGCGAAGTTCCTTGCCACACGACCAAATTTGAGCCATGCCTCACTTTTGGACCCCCGCCATGTAAAATTTACCCTGTAATCGGGCAAAAATTGCATGGCTGAGGTCTCCCCAGCGAGTATTTAGATTCAAACAAACTGATATCAGAAGTTCTGTAAAAAAAAACTTCGAGTAACTTCTCTTAATATTTAACTCCATTGGTTCTAAACATTTTAGTCTCTTTCGACAATCCTTTTTCATCAGAAAAACTTCGACTTAAATTCTACGAAAATAAAATGTATTGTTTAACATATGTGTAGGTTTTAATGGAAATAACAAAAACAAAGAGCCGGGGGGGGGGGATACTTTAAATTGAAACAATTATAAATTAATATTTAAAACCTATTAAATTCTCCCTCCCCTTTCAACTAAAAAAATTGTTCTCCTGTCATATAACCCATTGATGGTTTTGTGAATAGGTAAAATAAAATCAGAACCAACCTTATTTTTGTAAAATATAAAATAAACAACGTATTTTAGCTTCACATATTCCAGTAGCATACTCATCAATACTGGCATCATGATTCTGACAATGGAGAGTGTAGCAAAGGTTGCATTCCTGTGGTAAGCCTAGAGTATTAAGTCTTGTATCTAGATTATCTCTATAATATACTTGCTGCTCTAAAGATGCTTTACCCCAGCTAGGTTTTGGTGTGCTGGTTAACCTTATATTAGTAAATATTTAAAGTTGACACATCAAATATCTAAATAGATTTGTAAACATTTAAGTTGACGCATCAAATATCTAAATAGATTTGTAAACATTTAAGTTGACGCATCAAATAACTATATTGATCAGTAAATAAAACCGTAGTGAAAACTGATTATTTATTAACAAATGTGTTTTTACAGTGTATTCCACACCAAATATCTACGCAAAATACAAATTACTTGACAAGATTCTAAAAACGTGAAAGTTTTGGCAAAAAAATATAAAAATATAAAAATTATTCATTAAAAATGACCTATCGTAGCAATCTCCTGCCGTCCCGACGGGAACATCAAAATCCACCAGATCGTACGCATCATAGGGCTGAGATTTACGCAAATCCCACTTGATGCCAGTACTGCGTAGCATTACACCAGAGCAACCCCAGTTAATCGCGTCTTCAGCAGATATGACGCCGATATCTAAATAAAGGATTAACTATAGAATAATATGAACAATGCTGATAAACATTATAGCTAAAACTATCCCTTCCTGAATTTTACGATTTTCGCAGATTTAGAGGAAACTATCAATAATAGTACTCAACTTTAAACTTTATGTCTTGCTTTATTTTTGACCTTTAATAGTAAATTTTCAAAAGATAGGAGAAAAAATTAATTAATTCATTTTGTATTGGAAAGGGGCATAAAAACAGCAACAATAAAAGCCCCCCCCCCTTTTTAGGAATATTTTTTTTCTCCCTTATGTATATTCTCGCAAAAAAATGTAAAGAGTACTTTTCGCTAAATTGGGGAACATATAATCACAGGAGGTTGCTATATTTTAGCAGGAGGATTGAGCAATTTCTCATTATAAATAATTTCAAATGAATTTTGCAAACTTTCCGAAAATATTGAAATAATAATTGTTCTAGAAACCCCAAGAATAGGTTTCAAATGTTTAAACTCTCTGAACCAGTGCTCAGGATCCGGATCCTGGATCCACACTGGAAAAAAGGGATCCGGATCCCTTTTTTTTCGCTTATTTTTATTCTAAAACTTGATGAACCATTCAGAAATGAGGAAATTTTTTCAAAAGTTCAGATTTGGGTTTTAGGAGTAAAAAAGTTTTATTTGCAGTTTTTGATTGATATTTCACCCCTTGGATCCGGATCCGGGGATCCGTGCATTTTTGCGGATCCGAATCCAGGAAGCTAAAATCTTGCGGATCCAGCGGATCCTAAGCACTGCTCTGAACATCGGAGAATGAATAAATATAGTCAGTATTATTCGGAAAATAAATTTCAAAATAAAATGATTGAAGACCTAAACATATCAAAATGAATAAATATAGTCGGAATTATTTCAAAATAATTTTCAAAATAAAATGATTAAAGAGCTGAATAGCTTTACCATGAATCCATCAGATAAAAAGGGGATTTTAATTCAAATAAAAAATATTTCGAGAATTATTTTATATTTATATTTAGGACAAGTGAGACTAATTTTGCAGGACAGTACTGGGAACTTGTGTCGATATCCGTAGTGGGTATTTTTAAATTTGCATAATCTCCTGATCTCGAGTGTCAGCAACTTCTTTGTTCTCACTGGCTTCTGACCGGCTGTTTGCACTGGCTTCTGACCGGCTGTTTGCTTACAACAGACGAGACTTTTCAAGGGATAAAGAATAAAGACAGATTTAATCTGTAAATTAACAAAAGATCAAGATCTAGTATGATCTCGACATCAGCAATAGATGAGTTTCTACCTCAAATCTACTTGTACAAACGGTTTTTATCCGTACTTTTATAGTTCGTTCAGGGTCCTCAAGTTAATTTAATTTTCATAACTTTTTAAAAGAAGTGATGATTTTTGTCATGAAAAACCTTTTATTTTTTTAAGAGTTTTTAATTAATGATTTTTGGTTAACCTGACATCACCAGCTGGCATTTGGTTCAAACACTGTTCAATGATCCTCAGAGACTGACGCATCTCAAGCATACGCATCAAATATCTAAATAGATTATTGAATATTTGAAGTTAAAGCATTAAATATCTAAATAGATTATTGAATATTTGAAGTTAAAGCATTAAATATCTAAATAGATTGAATATTTAAGTTGACGCATCAAATATCTAAATAGATTAGTAAAACTTTAAAGTTGACGCATCAAATATCTAAATAGATAATTAAATATTTAAAGTTGACGCATAAAATATCTAAATAGATTAGTAAATATTTAAGTTGACACATCAAATATCAAAATAGATTATTGAAAATTTGAAGTTAAAGCATTAAATATCTAAATTAGTGGTTCTCTCCTTCCAGAGCCTATTGTCTGTGACAAGATCCTCCACCTCGTCCAACCTTTCAGAGAACTTGCTGCAGAACTCGTAGATATCGTCCAGAAGACCAATTGGGATATCCTAGATACATTACACTTAAAGGGACTGAAGACGTAGTTTCAAATGACCCTTCGTTTAAGATATGCATTCCTGATTCACGACGGTTCCCTTAAAACGTCTAAAATTAGACACTTTTTGAAAATTGGCCATTTTCAGTAGTTATTTTCCTTAAAACCTAAAAGGATAATAAAAATAGACAAAAAGGAAATTTTAAAAAATCTTTAAACCGAAACAACGTCGCACTTCAATGTTGTTTAGTGGAAGGTCTGAAGTATCTTGTTTAGATTTCTTTCATTGAGGATTTCTCAAGGAAAAAAGAGAAAATTAAACAACATTTAATACGATTTAACATTTTAATCGTGGCAATTTTTTATATCTTCACCTGATGCACACCCCCGGGCCGGACATATGCAGCGTGCATACGTGCGCCGCTAGCGCGCTCGTAGAACTCCATCATCTTCTCACGCTCCTCGAACAACCAGAAGAACGGGGTGAGACCTCCGACGTCAAGAATATGGGTTCCAATTCCCATAATATGGTTTAGAATTCGAGTCAGCTCAGCAAACAAAACCCTAGCACAAATCAAGGTTGTAATACAAGGAAAGTTATTGCTGTCGCGTATACTCTGCGTACATATTAAAACCAGTTCTCTCTGGGCGGAATTTGTAAACAAGAATAGATGTATCAGTGTTCGTTCAGAATCCGAGGATGTTAAAAGCATTAAATTTTGATAATTTTGATAATTCACATAATAGTTTCCTATGACCAGAATATTCCATTGATTTTTTTATATGAAAAATGGATCCCATGTCAGGTTTTGACATCCGTCTTGTGTTTACATTACCACCCAGAGACAGTACACTGCAGTACAAAAGATGCGTACACTTCTGAAATAACTTTCCTTGTATTACATCCTTGGCACAGATATATTAAACTCCTGATTTTAGTAGAAAAGTAGTTTTTTTAATTTTCACACAATTTTTTTCGACTGTTTCCGTATACAATTTCAAGCATTAAAGGTGTTAAACTATATTATTAGTGATTTTGGCACAATTTACTTTCCCCATAAAAAAAAATACTTTAAGCATGATTCTTATTCCCTTCAAGTGATTCGAACGAACAGTTTTGAGAGGGCGGAGGTGATGGGGGGATGGCTTTTACACGACATTTTTCTAAAATTCAAATTATTAAAAAAAACATTCTAACCTGATATATTTAGCCCTGAGGGGAACATCTATATTAAGAAGTTTCTCGACAGCAAGAGAATATGCCTGCTCATTACACATCATAGATACATAATCAAGCCGGTCAAAGTAGGGCAGAGCCTGCAGATAGGTCTTGTATTCGATCAACTTCTCAGTTCCTCTGCAATTAAAATCTAATTTAGATAATATTTGAGACCTTACTTGGGAAGAAAATGTTCAGTTGTTTTGGTTGGAAACCAAATTTTTTTTATCTTCTCAAAACGTAAAAACCCATCATGTGTTTAAATATAGTTACATTTCTTTACTTGTTACGGTTGAACCGGCTTTCGATAGGAATCATAAATACAATTTTGGCGTTAAATAAAGTTACAAGAATATATATTTCAAGAGTGAAGATTCAAAGAGGGGGGTTGATGCACTGAAACAAGTATTTTACATAAATTTGAACGTTTCCCAAATTCACCAATGAACATGATTAACATCTGCAGAAATAACGTATTTAAATTTTTGGATAATTCCACAAAAAGTTGAATTGACCTGTGAAGAAGTCCAATATGAGGATCAGCTCGCTTGACAGTTTCTCCGTCCATCTGTAGAACTAGACGGAGTACTCCGTGAGCTGCAGGGTGCTGGGGTCCAAAATTCAACTGCATATTCCTGAATTAAACAATACAATTGAATAACATTTTAATCTTGTAAACCAGCAACATATCTTGGGTGGATGATATTTCTTAAAATTTTGTTAACTTTCAAGTTTTACTGAATTATTTTATGCTAAATTTCGCGTTAAATTTGCCAATATTAGTTTCCCAAAGAAAAGATAACAGCATTACATTGAAAATTAATCCAAAATAACTTTTTTATGCAGAGTGTTCCAAATCATAAAAGATTATCTCTCCAAGATTATAACGCCAAAATACGCAAATAATACTAGAAAAAAATCAAGTTTCTTTCTGCCTGCAAAACTTTACATTAGCAATTTAAATTTTTTTAAATACTTCGTTCTTTTTGGATTTTCTAATTAGGCCCGGAAATCGCAATTTACACAAGATCTAATATGATGTGTGACACCCTGTATAACACGATCCAATAAGATTGTGACACCCTGTATAACATGATCCAATATAATGTGGGACACCATGTATTAACACGATCCAATAAGATGTGGGACACCCTGTATAACATGATGCAAAAAGATGTGGGACACCCTGTATAACACGATCCAATAAGATGTGTGACACCCTGTATAACATGATCCAATATGATGTGGGACACCCTGTATAACATGATCCAATATGATGTGTGACACCCTGTATAACATGATCCAATATAATGGGGGACACCATGTATTAACACGATCCAATAAGATGTGGGACACCCTGTATAACATGATGCAAAAAGATGTGGGACACCCTGTATAACACGATCCAATAAGATGTGTGACACCCTGTATAACATGATCCAATATGATGTGGGACACCCTGTATAACATGATCCAATATGATGTGGGACACCCTGTATAACATGATCCAATATGATGTGGGACACCCTGTATAACACGATCTAATATGATGTGGGACACCCTGTATAACAAGATCTAATATGATGTGGGACACCCTGTATAACACGATCTAATATGATGTGGGACACCCTGTATAACACGATCCAATATGATGTGGGACACCCTGTATAACACGATCCAATAAGATGTGGGACACCCTGTTAACACTTACTTGACAAATTTCTCCTGAGTTGGTCTAGTCCCATCGTCCAGTAGTTCTTTCTGCAGCATATATTCGGGTTTACCGGCCATCTCAGCTGAAAGGGTATTAGGCTCAGGTGTTCCCTCGGGATACAAGACTACCTGAAAACAATATATTTAATGTGAAATTTGATACAGGGTGTCCAAATAAACATGGGAATTAAATGTTAACTTATATTCTGTGTTTGTTTCATGCGAGATATTTTCGTTAAAATAATTTTTCAATATCCCAGTTAAAACATTTAACACAGAAAACTAATGGTCTCTGGATTTCCAAAATGTGGTCAACCATTTATTTTACTTTCAAAATTGACGGAAAATATTAGGATATTTATCAAGATTCCAGTTAATTAAAATTCAACGTAGCGGTTCAGTTGTTGACAACATTTTAGAAAGCTCATTGAGCCTATTGCGCTTTTTGTGAGTTAATCTGAAGGGCCCGGCGTTGCCCGTTGAAAAACAAATTTGGAAGAAAAAAAGATTTTTTTAGCCCTTGTCATCCCAAAGCTACCCTTGAGTCTCTTCAAAAACATTCTGCCCATTAGGTTGAGCCGTTTGGCCAGCTTTAGGGAACACATAAGTTGTACACAGATTTCTTGTTTTACTATTTAGTTTAAATTGCATTATACATACATTTAAACTTAACATAAATTTTAAAATTGTCGGGTCTGTCCTAGTATACGATTTTTGGACCCCCCCAGGCCCCCCCCTCCTATCAATTTTGTACATGACCATTTATTTTTCAGCAAATTTATTATTATTTATTTTGTTATTTAGGGTTAAGTTAGGTTAAGATACTTTCTGTGCCGAGCGCTGCGGCTAGGATAGGCTAGGGGGCCGAGCGCTGCGGCCACGGGTTAGGTTAAGTAAAGACACTTCCTGTCAGACCCATGTAC